TCGAAGAGTTTACATAACTTCCTTGATTTGATCATAACGTTTTATAATACTTACGGACATTTAGGCAAGTCCGTTTATTCTAGTCAAGTAATAAGAGAGAACCATGGTTAGACCCAGCTCTTTGGACTTTCCCTGGAACCGTTCGCAAACGAATTTTGCATGTCTGTGCAACAGTGGTGACAACTGTAAAGCTTGAAAGGGGCTTGCCCAATGTAGTAAAATATAATGTAAACTGCAAACGACAACCGAAATATGACTAAATGTATTATGCTGTTGTCTAGTCATGTGCACAGTATTAGGGCGCGTTCATGCTTGATTTTGGGCGCGTTCATGCTTGATTTTGAAGGCAGAATGAGCGATTTGTAACGCTCATCGTAAACGCTCATGGTAATCGCAGTTCCACGGTGCACTGTTCATGCTCACTTCTCCAGGCAATTCTCCTTGGGTGGCCTTCAGCTGGATTCGCAAACCTGTGTGCGCATGCTACGTAAACCCACTAGAGGTCAGTGCGTTGACCCCATTTAAACGCGTTTACAAATTATAAACGCATCTTTTTGTGAGTTTACGATCGGCGATCGTGATTGCCGTTTTTCGGTGATTCTACAAAAGTGAGCATGAACGCAAGCGTGTTTTAAACTAAACGCGTAACAGATGCCTGATTCTGGCCGTCAAAATCAAGCATGAACGCGCCCTTAAATGCAAATTTATTTGATAACAATAGACTGGTTTACTAACGTATATCAACATTATGGAGGTTTCTTTCCTGGCGACCTATGGTGACTAGTTATCCCATTAACCTGTTATCAATGAATGAACTACAGTACTTGGAATCCAGTTCGCATACATGACTTGTTGCTATGTCAGACGAGTTCTTTTGTTTAAAAAGTATGCATATATACATTTTGAAAATGTTAATAAACATGTCTATTGCATCCATTGAGGGTTAAATACGAGACGCTAAAGCCTGGTGCACACTATACACGATCTGACTACGATCCGACCTTGAAAGAGTTTGTGATATTACGTGAACATTTAAACATGTAAAATCTTAATGACCAAGGATCTGAATAGTCATGTGATTAATACAATAGGCCCTTTTTGTAATGTAACTAAATTTAATGCATAAGTTTTTGTGAAGTGCCTCAATACAAATTATTTCATTCACCTGATAAGAATAATAGTATTTCAATAGTCAGAATGCAAACTGCATATATTAACTGTTGCTAGGTAGGTCAAGACATAGGCCCGAATTCACAAAGCAAGGTTTGAGCTCAGACCAAGGTTTGAGCTCAAACCTCCTTTTGTTTCGCCAAACCTCCTTTTGTTCTTTACAAACCAGGTTTGTAAAAAATGCGTAAAACGCGTCATATGACGTACGAAAACCAAGGTTTGTCGACAAACCTCCTTTGTGAATTCGGGCCATAATGTTTGTCCTACCTGGCAACAACTAATTTATGCAGTTCGGATTCTGTCTATTGAAATACTATTATGCTTTTTAGGTGAATGAAATAATATGTCCTAAAGGCACTTCACAAAGACTTATGCATTATATTTGGTTACATTACGAAAATGGCCTATTGCAAATTTAAGGGATTTCATGCTCCCTTGGAGGGAAAACAGCACAATCGGCTCGGAATCGTAGTAACGTCGGGCTTATAGATTTGAAGCCGATTTTGCTTTTATTCTGACTAGAAGAGTTAATGCACTAAAATTCTCATCATTATTCATAATCTCAATCAGGAGGATAATGGTTGTTTAGATTATATATTTAATATAACCGCCCTTTCTACGAAAATCGGTTCACAGGAGAATCTCGTGGTGTGCGCCGGCAGTATCTAAATGACAGTATCTATGTGCGAATTGCATTATTAATTCTGTATTTTTCAACATTTCACATCACCCTTTTTTGACAATGCTTGTCATACACATCTGTTGATAAGTGCTAATATGGCAATATATGTTAGTAAAGAGAAATAACAAAATAAACATTATTCCGCTTATTAAACACAGTGAGACTTGTTTCATTTATAAAGGATGACGAACTTGACGTCTATGAAGATGTTAAGGAAATCTTACCTAGCCAACCCCTGCCACTGACCTCAAAGGTGGATCAACCACAAGAGCCATCAGGATTGGCAAACAAGAAAAAAGCCCTGCTACCTCCCAAAGGGAAACATCGGCACGCTAAAGCTCCTCTTCCAAATCCGAAACCGAAGGTAAATCCATACATATTAAGTGTAATATCAAGTATATATAAAAATATCATGTGTTTTGGTCAAAGTTCATTTCTTGTCTATCATTCCATGAGATCGCTGTGTGCAAAGATGCTTTGAATTGGATCGAGAGTGGCATTGGAAATGACAATGAAGTCAACTATTTATTTAAAAAGAAAGTCTGAAAAGAAGTGGTTGATAGTCGACTGGGAAGCAATAGTACAACAGTTTGATATTCATTTATTTATGTGCCATGTGTTGAGGATATTTGTTATGTTAAGGTTTCATTCGAATGGCTATAGCTAAAAGAAAATTAAACAGTGAAGTTGAAAATCACACGGTAAAATGAGGCCATGTGTGCGTGCGTGTGTGTGTGCGCGTGTGTTGGGTACGATGAAACAAGACTTTAGAGAGGCAATATCTTGTGATAAAACATATTTCCTTCCTTTTTATGTACTTACAGTCATCAAAAAAAAAAAAGTTGACATTAATTTTATACTAAAGATTTTCAAATACATATTTAATATGAACTTATCTACCATCATACATCCTCCTTTAAAATGATACTAGATTGGAATCATACCACTTACGCATCAATGAGCATATTCATTTAATAATGAATGAGTCTGTAAAAGAAAATTTCAAAAAATGGGGCATCTGGCCTTTCAAATGTTGATGAGTATTTCCATCTTGTTGATTCAAAATTAAAACAACAAAAAAAGAGAACATTCACGAGGAGCAAAACAGAGACATTTTCACCGTGATTGTCAAAACCATTCGGTCCTGAGACTACAATTGATATTCAGAGCTCAATTTTTCTCATTATTTCTCGAGACATTCTTTGTTTTCATTGTTGAACAAGAATATCTTTCAGATTCATATGTTTATTCATCTTTAAATGGTTGCTTGCTCTTTTTTTTGCAATTTGTTTAATCAGACAATTAAAGTGAATGTGCTCATCCAAGTGACGTTAAAAATGATCTTTATTGATTCTGGTAGAGTATTAATTTTATCTTGATTTGATATATATTTTATTATATTTTACTATATTTCATTGACGGTTTATATGCAAATTTTGAACAATAAAGTCAGAGTGTCCTCTTTCTTTTTAATTGCTGAGTGTATGGATGTACGCAATTTATAAACATAACGCACTCACACGCGCGCACGCACACACTTATATAATAATGATTATATATAACTATATACATGTATTTCATCAAGATAATATCATTGTGAATAAAAAGATTTGAGGGAGTAAAGGCGTTATATGATTATTAGAAAGCCTACACTTGATTTTACAGAATGGTATTGGATGTAAGCTGTCCGTTAAAGTAGATTGTCCGGCGGGAAAGATGGCGGCATTGCCAAAACAGAAGTCAAACCTCAGACCAGCAGCAAGAAATAACTACAGAAGCACCATCACTGGGTCTGGACATTTGCAAAGCGACGACGAGAGCATCATCAGTCGCCCGGGAAGTTTGAGTAGCAATGAGAATGCTCATCATATACACGGACGGGAACATCCTTTGCCTAGCGATCTACCATATCAGGTTACTAGAATAACAATAACAAAATATAATAACAATAAGATAATAATACACAAAGATAAGAAAATATATGTAATTAAAGATAGATAATGGTTAGGAAAGAATATATGAGTAGATTAGTTAATGAATATATGAATAAATGATTTAATAAATGAATTAAATTAATAATGTCAGTGAAAATAGTTATAGTAATAATAATGATGATAATAATGATGTTAATAATAATGATAATTATCGTAATTATAATAATTATTAAGATAATAAAAATAATAATAATTTAAAAGATAATGATAATAATGATTACATTATACATTAATTTTAATAATAATAATAGTAAGAAGAAGAAGAAGAAGAAGAAGAAGAAGAAGAACAAAATTACGAACAAAATTAGGGCGTCAGTATACGTGTGTTCTGCAAAACAGAATAGTACATAAATCTTTTTCTAGATACGTGAGGTAATGTAAAACACTTGGACATTTATATTTTTGACTAATTAATGAAGAAAACGGTAAATCTTTCAAGTTTCACTTCATATTTTTACTTTGGCAGGGTCTGGGTAGGATGTCTGTCTCTGGAAGGAATGAAGGAAAAGGAAAGATTCGACCCCCAATGCCACCCCCGAAACATACCAAACCAACGGCACAAGTAATACCACAACAGACGGACAGGGATTATGCATGTGAGAGAACTTGATTATTAACTTTTGTACCTTGTTGTTTCGTAATAATTATAATAATGATAATTATAATGATGATGACAATAATATTAATAATGATAGTAATAACAATAATAATAATAATAATAATGATATTAATAGTAATGATAATGATAACCTAGCATTAGTCATAGATTGAAGGATGTAGAGGGTATTAATATATGAGATTAAATTAACAAAACATGGACTAATAAATGTTACCTCAGATAAAAAATAAAAAAATCATTTGACCATATCCATGTATACTAGTAGGCCCATTATAGAGGCTTTGTGATACCGAATTTTACCAGCTTTTCACTCCCAAATTATCTGAAAAGCAAAAAGAATCAAAACAATCCTCGCGTTTTTAGGACTCTTTACTGATTACTGAATGGGGGAAATCAAATAGATTCCCCCTTTTTTGTTGGGGGGGGGGGATGCGTTCACTCGAACCCCAGGGCCTCTAAGTTTTACGGACCTGACTCGTATAGCTTTATCAAAGCCTTTCATCAACCATTGTTTCATTTTTAATAGATGCTAGTGGGTACCCTCTTGATCCGGATGGAAGAGAGCTTGAGGCAAACTGTGATACCAAAGAGAGAGTCAGAACTATCCGCAGAAGGTACATATTCCTTTTTTTTTCATTTTATGAACGAATGTTGATAATCAATATTTTGATAAATTGATAAGAAAATATAAATGATATATTTTCGCATTTAATCTTCTCAATAAGAGGGCAAGGAGAAATGTATTGAAGAATAGAGAGAGAGAGAGAGAGAAAGGGAGAGAGAGAGAGAGAGAGAGAGAGAGAGAAGGGGCGAGAAAATGGGGCCAGATAGAGACAGACACATATATAATGATGTAGAATATTAACTAAAAAGACTAATCAGAAGAATGTCACACAAAATAGAAAACAAACTAAATAAAAAATTATATATATTTTTAACATGTTAATTGTTCTAAAATCTATATGAACACCAACCTGGCAAACAATGACAACAATTAATTGAATTCAAATTGGTAAGAAATGAAATGTTATGTCATCTCTCTGATCTCATCATCTCAGAGACGGGTCGGTATCATCGTTCGAAGTGGAGAAGAACGTGAATATTCCTAGCCAGGAGTTTAAGGTTGGAGATGTCTGCCTAGCTGACAAAGATGGATCAGTCGTGTAAGCATAATTATATACTTTGTAATGATGATTATTTCTTTTGTAAATTTTATAACAGATAATGAGCGTCAGAACAAGATGACTTTACATGGTTGAAAGACCTAAGTGATCACTAATTTGTGTTTGTTTTTGTTTTGTTAGCTCAGCGGGGGGGGGGGGGGGGGGGGGGGGGGGGAGGGTGGAGCTCTATTTTTTTTTCCTTCTACTCAACACCCCCGTGGTTTTTTCCAATCTAAGTCCTTCACTTTAAGGACTATATGTACTTTTCTCTATGAATGCTAATTAGGTAAGTGCAACTGCTGACTTGAAATCATTAAAAACATTAAATATTTGTATTTCATTGGTTTCTCTTTTTCGCTACAGAATCGAGCGTACCAACCTGTCGACGTACTTGAATGCTGGGGACCAATTGTTACAGATTAATGACATCGATGTGGAACACAAGGGAAAAGATTTTGCTCATATTTGTCTCGGCAGTGTGAGCTCATCTCATGTACGTAGTAAGATTAGTTGAAAATAGAAATGTGATAAGCTGGTATATACAAATAGCTGGCTATGAACTGACAAGAGATGTTCAGTAATTTATCTTTTAAAATCAATTCGTATACGCACTGCTTTTCACCGGATCTTGATTTTTTTTCTCGATCATCTAATCAAGAGCTTGAAGGCTGCACAATATGAATTAAAAGTTCTAGCAGAACACTACAAAAATGATGTAGATATATTAGCACAGCATTTAACTTTGTTTTTGTGTTCAGAATATATCACTTTTAGTTCACTTAAAAAATAAAAATAAACAAACAAACAAGACATAAACAGGGATTACACTAGTTTAAACCTATTGATATGCCTTTTTTAAATGTATTTTATTCATATTTGATCAAGCTTAATCTTTTCTCTCTCTTACAATGACAGATAAACCTCAAAATTCTCCGACGGTTTCACCAGGGATGATGGTTTAAGTTCCAAGGTGTCACCCAAGACTTCCTGAATAGTCTTATTTGTGGACATGAATGTATTCTCCATCCGTTTCTTCTTAGGATCAAATGCCAGCTTTCTACGTCACAGTACATAATGGCAAATAGCGAGGTTCCGGAGAGGACAAGTGGTGCAATCGTCCCTATAGTTTGAAAAACATCCACCAATATAAAAGATAATGCCAAGACCGAATCATGCGTCTTGCACTGGACGGGATTTGTGTAGCGACTCAGGAAGACGAAGATGAAGACGGAGGAGGAGAATAAGAATAAAATGTGAAGGAAAAGAAGAAGATGAAGATGGAGAAGAAGAAAAAGAAGAAGAAGAAGAAGAAAAAGAAGAAAAAGAGGAGGAGAAGAAGAAGAAGAAGAAGAAGAAGTATTTGGTGTTAGAAGGGTTGCATTTTAGCAAGTAAATTTGCTTTAATCCTCCTCCAATTAACAATACTGAGTTGTATCTGGCGTTGCGATATATGAAAAATGCAGAGATAATGAAAAATATTTATGTATAACAAAAAAGTGTTGCTAATCTTTTGTCAGGGTAGCCCATTTACCAATAAGTAGTGGTCTTCCATTTACATAAAAAGCAAAACGTTTCTACAGAACAGTTAAAATAGAATTCATGGTAAATTTAGAAAGATATAACACAGCAATAATAGACGTGGCACAAATGAATACTTGTTAATAATATTACTATATTTTGGATGATATGTTGGCCTATACAATTCTATGTGCGACACGGTTTAAAATGAAGCTCATAAAAACTAAAACAATACAGAGTGATCTGGTGGCTTTATGTGAACTATCATATTAGCAGTTGTCATGATTCGCCGATAATGGAACAGTGTGCGAATTAACTAAACACTGCTGTGATTACCTATAATGTATTTAAACAAATTATCATTGGAAATTTTGTAGAGCTGTGAATAAATAGCACCATCTTTCTGGTCACAATTAATTGATTATACAGGGTATACATATATGTAGAGCCTAAGAAAACGATACATGGTAACAACGTTTCATAACGTAAATGAAATGTATATCTCATTCTTCTGTATTGCTTCATTTTGAGAAGAAAAAAAGAGAAAGAAATTAATCGTTTGTGAAGCTCCGGATAGGCTGTCTGAAAGTACAGTTGATTTGTTTCCTCTTTGACTGTTTCTATTTCTGTTTAATTTCGATTATTATGATATATGTTCAGGTGCCTTCTATTGCCTTGTATTGCCTGCTGCTGTATATAAGATTATTATAATAGGCTTATGTATTCATTTACGAACTAGAAATGATTATTTTCATGAACCTTGCGCTTTTGGAGGTATCCATTCATCTATTGTTTTACCAACAGTACTATTTATATTTCTGGTTTACTTGTGGATGATTTACAAATGAATTTCAAATTGAATTGAATTTCCAGTGGCGTTTCCACATGGGGGCATGTACCCCCTCTCACAGATGAAAGAACAGATAAAAGATAATGATAGCCCCTTGCACCCTCCCCTAATCGATGACGTTGTCATGGTCGAATTCATTCACCGAGGAAGACCGATGCTACCAATACTGCCTGTGTCCCCCTGCCCATGGCTGAACTCATGATAAGCTGCTGTACATTTCATTTCGTGGCAAAAGAACATTAATCGAACAAAGGAAACACAGAATTAGAGCAATAGCTTAATAATCCAATGAAATATCGGGTTGCCAATTATTATTTGTTTCCTGGTCTTTCAAGCTATAAATAATAGGCTTATGTATTCACCAACGAATTATTACTGACTATTTTTTTGGTGATGTTGCATCATTTAATGCAGGGGCGTACGCAGGGGGGGGGGGGGGGGGTTTGGGGGGTTATAATTAAATTTTACCCACGGCTAAAATTATACCCACGGCTAACCTAAATAAGGTGACCTTACCCCCCCCCCCCCCCTCAACGAAGAAAAATGTCAAATTTTGAAATCGAGACCAAAAAAAAAAAAAAAAAAAAGTGTCCGCTCCCCCCCCCCCCCCCCCCCCCCCCCCCCACTGAGCGACTTTTCGGCCGGCGCGATTTTCAAATTTTCGGGAGCAAAATATTTTAAACCCCCCCCCCTTGAAAAAATCCTGCGTACGCCCCTGATTTAATGTAAGTGGTAACATAAGATTTATTTGGTTAAATTAACCCTTCGATTATGTACAATCGCTGTCATTATTACAAACAAGTAAATTTAATTCTATTCGTCAATGAGGAAGTAACTCAGAATTGCTAAAGGCCAAAGTGTTTTGTATCAAACGATTTTAAATTTATATTTTTATTAAAATATATTTAATTATTTTACAAGAAAATAATCCTTCAGTTTCTTTTCTTAATGCTGCAATATCATGTTTCAGAAGAATAAATGGGTTTCTACCATAGCACCCAACATAGAATCAAAGAATGATAAACTGGGGAGGGGGGGGGGGGGCTGGGGTCTGTGAAACGAGGAGGATGTATGCCGGCTTCGATCCATGCCACTGATGCTCATGCCTCTATATAAGCGGCATGAAAATCCCTATTTGGAAGTGGGATGGGGCAAAATTATTTTCAATTTGTTTTCTTTAAAAAAAAAAAGAGAGGTAGCCTTGCGGAAGGAGATGTTGTGTTAAGAGATACAGAGTGAAAGGGGCGTATAAAAGGCAGACGATTGGAAGGATGTAATGATGAGTAGAATGAGAATGAGATGAATTGTGCTTGAAGGAGCGTAGGCTAGGGTAGAATGGTAGAAGAGAGATATTATATGCGTATACTCATATGGGGGTACAGCCAATTGACTGACGTCTCTTGTAAGGGGGATATCAACTTTTAAGTTCTACTTCTATGCTTTGATACTTGGTGGACCGTTTGGTATATATCTCACCAAGTTTTTTGAGTATCACATCCGGTGAAAGGTGAACATTAAGACAGTCATCATTTTTATTATTAGTTTGGTTTGACACTTTTTGTTTGTCACTTTATTGTAATGGCAATGCGAGGTTGTAATCACAAAACATGTATATAAACAATAGACATATCATAATTATATAGGCCTATAACAATTTAATATGAAATCCTGACTATGAGGTGGCGATTGGCTGAGTATTGCTAATGGCCTTAATCGAAATCCTCGGGGGAGCTCATCCCCTAGCTCCGTAGTCTAGTTCTGGACCCGTTTTATCGATATTTTAATTCGCTGACTATACGCGTTAAGCCGAGCGGTGGCGCGATCCTGAGAACCTTCCGGGCCGCGTCATTTTTTTCTGCGGCACAGATTGGGGCTTTAAAAAAAAAAAAGAGGTCTTGATTTAACCCTTACCCTAAACTTTCCCATAGGCTCAACACGCACCTAACCCTAATCTGTGCCGCCGAAAAAATGACGCTTCCGGGCCGGTTCTCGGGATCGCGCCACCACTCGGCTTAACGCGTATAGTCGGCAAATAATAAAAACCAATAAAAGAGTCCAGAACTAGACTAGACTCCTAGCTCCGATCCATCTCCCCTATGAGGCGCCGTTTGTAAAACAATTATATAGACAAATTATATGTTATATAATCATTATTTAGCAAATAATAACCATTATTTACATATAATGGAAGTAAATTTACATTTTTATTTGTATATAATTCTTGACATATTTTCATTATTTATCAAGTATTACAATTCATATTTTCATTATATATAAATAATGAAACATACTTTGTCATTATTTATTTATAATGATTATATAACATATATTTTGTCTTTATAATTTTTTTTTTACAAACGGCGCCTTGCGGCGTCTCTGCGACGGCCGTAGCGTTTTGAAAAATACTAAGGCAGACATAAGGTAGCCGCAAGGTGCCCGCTAGGCGGCTGAGGGGGGACCATGCGGCGACCGTCCTGCCAGACTGATGCTACCGGTTCATCCATGGAGTATATAAAACGCATGGCCACCGTTCGCCCGACGTATACGGTCGCCGTGGAACCGCTGTACGGCATGGCTACGGCGAACTTAGAAATGAAAAAAGTTACAACCTCGCGCTATAATCCCACGGCGACCTCTACGGCCTAAAAGATGCGCCCTAGGGTGACCCTGAGGCCAACGCAGGTATCTCTCTCGATTTCGGGGCCTACGGCCGCCGTATCCAAACCGTAGAGCAAATGTGACCTAGGCATATAAGGGGTTAAAAATTGCCTTTTCAAAATTCTGCCGTACGCCTACATGGCTATTTTTCTAGATCCCGACTCAGAATTGAAAGCTGGTCGGGAAGCCGGCTGTCTATAACTTTTGGCTACGTCAGCTTGCTAATGTAAAAACACGTAAAGAAGCCCCTTACTTCTCGTACCAGCATGTATGTGACATGCTTGGTTACGACGGGGGTTTCCGACGACGTCATCAGCATGGGTGTGTATCCCCCCCCCGGGGGGGGGGGGGGGATCCCGGTCTAGTAGTCTGTGCATTAAACCCATTTAAAAGTGTACAGGTTGATGTTATTGCTTCTCTATTGAAATACATGATTACATTGTCAATGTTACATCAGAAGCAATTTGAACAATTTTACTTTGTCAACAACTTAAATGTTAGTCCCTATCGCTCTTCAAAATGCTCAAGGGGTGACAATTTTACTAAACATGTTTAGGAGCAGTTTGTGAAAAATACCCGTTTAGGGTGTGAAGTCGGGGGAAACCACGCGAAATCCATTTAGAGTGTATTTTGGCTTCAGAATAAATCTTCGTCTAGGGGGTGTCTTGAAAACCTGTGGTCACGCATGCGTGCAAAAGTTACAGTATTTTTTCATGACTGAGACCTGAGGTGCTGGTACGCCGTTTATGCCTATTGTTGACAATGTCAATATTTGTAGATGTCTTAAAAATCCCCGCTGTCGGAATACGATGCAATAAGGGGATTTTTTAAAATAAAGAATATTGGGCTTCACAAGTCGTATATATATAAAGAGTCGTCTAACCCTGGGTTTGACATAAACGTCATTGTGCTCCTTCGCTCTCTGGAGATATCTTCGGGTTTGCTCAATTGGAAGATCTACGAAATTTCGCACCAATCATGTCTCAATCCAAGTTTAAGTTAAAACAGGAACTCTACTACAAAAGTGAAAAATCAAAGGTAGGTCTATATAGTACAGTATATAACAAAACGATTTGTATGTATTTGTCAAATAACGCACCAATTAAAGAAGCATGTTTGAAGCATGAATACTAGATATTGGCAAACGTTTGGTAAAGGAATGGGAAAGTTCGTCTGTTTTTAACTGACATGATTATATAATGATCATGGGCGTACAAGGAGGGAAGGGTTTAGAGGCT